TTGTGAAATAGGTCAAAGGGTAAGCACACAAGTGATTTTTATGATTCGATACTATGGATTGGGAAAGCATACTCAAAAGCTTAGTACTATAATTGAAGATTTGTTTTCGAATCTAAAACTAGGCTCTTGTGTCTTATTTGGGTAAGGAACTGTAGCAGAACATATTTAGGGCATTTAAAAATATTACATAGGTTCATCAATGAGACTGTACAGAGGAGATATAGACGTTTTTATTTATCATTATTAATAGATTTTCCCAAGGGAGAGATCATCAGTTGTCTTGTTACCAAATTCTTTTATTGAAGGTTTTTACAATTGTACTTTATGTCGTGTTTTAAGCCTTGTCCAAGCTATCATATTTTGCCTAAATATAGTCATGATGATATTCATCATGGCCATATACAGTATAGGCACATCATGACTAAATATGGGCATAAAACAGTTTTTTGTCAAAGAAAATTTTATAATCTAGACAGACTTTTAGCACCCTAAAGCCTGTTTTTCATAGGCAAATTTATTCGCGCAAATTTAAAGCTTCTACCGAAGTTTTACGCTTCAGCAAAGTCAGTAGTTTAAACTGTTTCTACTTTTGCGAAGCGAAAAAATATGCAACCAATCAAAACTCAGGAAGTGAAACCGCGCTTTCAGTTCGCACGAATAAATTCACCTAGTATAAAACAGGCTTAAAGGCAAACGAAACCATAAGTATTTTCTTTTAATCAAAAATATTATTTTTGCGATACTCTTTAAAAACACTCCATTAGTTGATTATATTTTTGATTTCCAGCAATTTCTTAAGAAGCAAATTTGTACAGTACACTATCTGGAGGTTTATACGTGAATGTTATTTTTCATTTCAGATTGCTCAGAGAGGAGAGGTCATTCAGGTCAAAGTACTGGGAACGATGGCCCTGATTGACGAGGGTATGCATCTGACTTTTCATAATATTTATTTTAATTCTGTAGTGATTTTTGCTTTAGATAGGATTAGGAAGGTATTCAAGAGTGAGAGCAGCTACCTCAGTCGACTAAACTGATGATAGCCACAATCCAATGGTGTAGTGTATTGTAAATTTGTAATAAAATTTGCCATTCAAGGTATATAAATAAAGTCTTGCCAAAATGTCATTGTTGATTCTTACAGAAATGAACCAACAATGGTTCGTACAGTATGAAATATTGATGTAGGGTAAATGCAATCATCATATATATGTTTAAGTGTTGTGCTAGAGGCAATACATACAACTGTTGTAATCATCATCTTTCTGATAATACGAAGTAAATTACTTGACTGATGAATTAAATATATATTTTTTTTGCACTTAAATTGTGTTTCTGCAGGAGAAACTGACTGGAAGATTCTGGCTATTGATGTTAGAGATCCCCTCTCTGATCTAATGAATGGTATGAGTAGTGATGATAATGGTTATATTTGCCCATTCTTTCTTCTTCCATTCTTCTCTTCTTTTTCACATATATCCGACCATTCATTTATTTATTTATTCATCCATACATTAATTTTTCTTTTTTTGAGCCCTATATTCATTCTTTCTATTATTCATTCCTCCATTCATTTATGCATCCATTCTTTCATCCACTAATTCATTCATTCATCCATTAATTTTTTCTAAATTTTCATTTATTCATTCATCCATCAATCCATCATTTGCTTGCTCGTTCGTCCGTCCGTCCGTCCGTCCATTCATTCATTCATCAATTCATCCAAATTTTCATTTATTCTTTCATTCTGTCATTGAGTCATTGATTTATTCATTCATTCAGTCATCCATAAATAATTAATTCTTCTATTCATCCATGCATCCAATCATTCATCCATCTGTTGATTGATTGATTGATTGATTCATTCATTTTATTTACTTATTATGGAAGATATACCAGGTTAAAATACATTAGGCTTTAATTTTTAAAATGTAAATGTTGCTATTATAGTTTTTTTCAGTTAATTTATATATTTTTTTGTCTAAATCACATTTTTTTAAATCCTTTTGTTAGATGTTGGTGATATTGAAAGGCTGATGCCCGGGTTTCTCAAGGTATTTTGTTTGGTTTTTATTGTTTAAATAATCAAAAGATGTGAATTGTTCCCATGTGATGTGACAGGCAGGCCATGAAAGACAGTTCATAAATAGACATCCCTCACCCTCCACCCTTTCAGTGACACGCCCCTCTGACACAACTAGTCCATATATTATGTGGCAAAGACAAGCCCAACCAGTCACTCATCGCAAATCGTGTTTCAGAGAAGATGGCCAAAACATGCTGGAATGTCAAATTTTAAAAAATCTATTTTATTGCACTAAAATAACCTATATATATGTATAAATCATGTTATGCTGTTATTTTCCACACTTTCAATGTTAAAACAACACTTTTGAAGGATTTTATGATAGCTTCTGCATGAGAAATGCCTGAAATTATAAACTTTAAAGGCGGATTTCTTACATATTGTTCTTTAAACGCTTGTAACTGCATAAGGATATATCAGATTTTAATATTTTTATACCATTTCATAGCTCTTATTTTACACTTTAACCCTGCATTAATAACTCAAAACCAATTTT